CTCTCAAAGAGCTGATACCTGCAAGCCTTCCCAGGGGTGGGGATTGTTGGCTGTGCTCTCATTCCATATTTTCAGAATGCCGACCTCTAGCTGTCTATAACTTGCTTGTGTAGGCAATGAATCAACACTGACTAAAATTCTGGCCTATAATCCTAGCTACACTGGAGGCTGAGATACGAGGATTGTGGTTCGAAGCCAACCCAGGCAGAAAAGTCCACAAAACTCTTTATCTCCAATTAACCACCAAAAAGCTCTTGGAAATAAACTTCACAACTTAGAGGGAGAGGAGATTTGGGGGTGAGGAGTGAGAGAAAATGAGGGAGGGGGTAACACTGTTCAAAAAGAAATGTACTCATTACCTTACTTATGTAACCATAACCTCTCTGTACATTACAATAAAATTATTTTTTTAAGAGAAAAAAAAGCTCCAGAAGCAGAGATGTGGCTAAAGTGGTAGAGTACTAGCCCTGATAAACCTATGCCCTGAGATCAACCCTCAGTTCTGGCAAATAAATAAATAAATAAATAAAAAGCTCTGGCTGCCGGAGTCAATGCTCTCCTGAATGGGATGTATCAATACCAGCTGATAATTTTTGCTTGAATGTTGATTCTGTTTGGGGAAATAGCCAAGTGATATGCACAGACAAGACATATGTTGTTGCTTGGTCTGAGCTGGGTTCTGAGCTCATGCCCTTCATCCACTTTACCAAGTAGTTAAACAAAAGCTGGCTCAAGCCAGCTGGGTTCCAATACTGGACTTGGAGAATTGCCCGAACTAGCACCAGCAGCTCTGATGGCTGTAAGGCTCTAGAAGCCTGTGTCATACGTTACCATTTCTCCACCTGCAAGGAAAAATGGGAGGCAGCAAGTTGAGAGGTTCTTGCTCAGAATGGGATAAAAAAAATGCAAAATGAGGTAGAAGCTACTAAATGAAACATCTCGATACACATTTTTTTCATGTTCACATTGTAGAGAAATGAGGAGGAAAGGAGAGGAAATAGGTAGCGGGGAAGCTGATACTACAAAGAGGTAGCAGAGGAGCTGGAAGGACTTTGCCAACTGCGGGGACAAGTCCAGCCATCTTTAAGTGGTACTAGACAGTGGTCTGGGGCTCACACTAGGAGGCAGACTTATGCTCAGAGCTGGCTGTGGAAAGGTTTTTTGGCCAGGTGCTCTCCAGCCATTAGATCTCAAAACAGCATATAAAAAATTAAGGAGAAACTGAGGCATCTACTAGTGCAAAGCCTAATATCTGCAATCAGTGTCAACATGTTTCATGAGCTGACAGGGATTAGGGAAGGCCACCTGAGGATTAGGTGTGCAGATATTATATCTAGTGGGTATTATACTTGAAATTTTACAAAGTAGCAATAAACAAAAGGCTTCACATTGCAGGAAGGATACCAGCAGAGGGATATAAACCATAGAACCAAAGTATAAACAGGTAAGAATTGACTCATGTCTTCACCCTGCAGATCCGGAGCTCTTAACCAGGGAAGGATGGGTAAGCTTGCCAGGTCCCCAAGCTTCTTGCACTCCTGTGCAAAGTGACCAGAGTGTGTTAAGTTTTCAATGATTCCATAGCCATCACTACCCGCAAGGTTGAAAGCACCAATATCTCCTAAATGGACTGTGCATCAATTGGTCACTTGGTGTGTGTGCAGTTTTCAAATCGAGGGTTTTTTTTTTTAGAACTGGCATATACACAGCTAGCTCTTGTGATTTCATTTCATCTCTCTGTTTAATCACCCATACCTGGAAAAGGTAAAACTGGTCAACAAGCTTCTCTGCTCCTCACTGGTAGCAGCTCCCAGGACCACACAGCACTGTGCCAAAGCACCTTCAGTGGTGGATAGACTTTATCAGTGACACACAGTATACCAGCTAGATACATACATAATAACAAAAGTCTAAGGACTTCTTGAGGCTTGATAGCTAATTGTTGAGACTCAAATTCAATGATGTTCAAGCTGTAAATAGCTAACAGAAACCACAGTTTGGGATAGACTCCACCCTACACACATACACATTCCCTGTACAATCTGCAGAAAACACTCTGTTCCACAAAGGTCAGTGTAACCTCAGTCCGACATCCACCCCTGGAGGTGAACCCTTCCAGGAAGTGCAGCTAACTAACCCTGGATGGGCAAGCAGGCTATCCCCCGAAGTTTGCAGCTTAGTGGGCAGACTAGGGAAAATAGTGTAGGGACAGTGTCTCTCCTGGAACCATCCCCATATTGAAGCCAAGGCTTGACTTTTCTGAAGCACAGAAGTCCTGTTTCCAGGATGATATTATACAGGACAACTTGTGAAACAAGGAATTGTCCTCCTGGCCCTTGGGGTACAGGTGGAGGTCCAGGTAGTTCTCTGAGCTCTGCTCCCCACTACCCCTCTTCAGGTGGTAACAAGGCATGTGCCAACTATCTCCCAGGGCTGTTTTTCCCCCTTCTACAGACATAAGAATCCACACAGTTTCCCTGCCTGTCACCCTGGAGAGTGGTGAGGACCTTTGGAAGGAGTCTGCCCATCTTTAGATTAAACTTCAGGGCTGAAGGTTACAGGCAGGGGACAGAGGAGGGTTGGCCAGGCAGGACAGGGGAAGGAAGGTGGCTGGTGTGCATCTGTCAGGAAACCTGTTCCTCCTCTGTACTAAGTCCTGCTTCACATCCTTTTCCCTCTGGTCACGCTTCACCCACCCTCTAGAGGGCATCTCTCATGTCATGTCTAAGTGTTGGGGAAGCTCCCTAGAGCAAGACCCCAGCTTTTCCTCTACAATTCCTCCTACAATCCCAGAACACTGACTGTGAAGTCATCATCCCAAATCCTCCATGTTCTAACAAAACAGTCTCGAGGACTGTAAGGTTCAGGACTAAGGAGAAGAGGTTCCGTGGCAAATTTGGGGTTGCATTCCCATCCTCCTTTCATTATAAATGTCATTATGCCTATTCCCCCAAAATATCAGATCACCCACCCCAACTCTTGGGTCTGCCTTCTGGTCAGATGGTCTTGTTTTTCTCATGTCAGAGAAAAAAAAACACATTTGGGCATTATGACCATCTCTGTCCAAGATCATCTCTGTTCTTTCTTGCAAAAGAATGAGTTTGCAATGAGGACTTTCAGAAACATGCCAGTCAAGAGATTTTCTCAGAGTAGAACAGGACTGTCATTCACTGTCCCCATCCTTTCCCTGAAGGAGCCCCACTTAGCCTGGTCTCCCAGTGAGGGCTTGTGTGGCAGGCAGATTCCAGAAGAGAAACACCAAAGCTATTTCCAGTCTTGAGGTTCAGTTGGCCAGAATCAGAGAGGTACAGATCAACAAAGAAGAGGTGGTTTTTTTGGTTGTTTTTTTGGTTTTTTTTTTTAAACTGTGCTTTATTTAGGGCTAAGCTGGAGAAAGCGTCATCCAATAGTTACAGAAGGTTACAAGAGTTTTAGGGAGTTGGGTGTGAAAAGAGCAGTTGTACTGAACTGCAGCTGTTTGGAATTTTTTTTTTTGTACAACATCTGGACATCCTGAAAGGAGGAGTCAAGAAAAAGAAATTCTTTTTAAAAAGTAAAGAAAAACGATCAGAAAAAAAAAAAAAAGGAAAAAGCAAGAGGCCTGAGAGGAACTGGAAATTTGTTCTAAAGGAAACAAACAAACAAAAAACAAAAGAACATGGTAAGTCCAAGAGCCCCTCCCCCCCAGGCCTCCTGATGAACAAGACATCAATAAGAAGTTATCAAGGCAGAGGTGCCAACACAAGTCTTCCCAAATAAATTATAATAAATATGTTATACTTTAAAATATATGTGTTCTTAAATAACTCAGTGTTTTTTTTCTGATTCTGAGATTTTTTAAGCAATGTCTTTAACTGCTCTAAAGTCATTTACCAAAGATAAATATCGTGCTTTCATTAAATAGTTCCTTGTTTTTTTTTCTCTATCATTACAATTAAAAGTCCTACAAAATATGCAAATTTATTTACAGAAAAACAGAGCCGGCATCATTTAAACATCCCTGTTTTTCAAAATTCCTTGTAAACAGTTTCAGAAATTCTTCAAAGATTGTTTATGTTTCTCTCTCTTTTTTTCTGTGTGTGTGTGTGTGTGTGTGTGTGTGTGCGTGTGTGTGTGTGTGTGTGCGTGTGTGTGTGTTCTAGTTGTTTAAAGATGAAAGTTCCCAGTTCTCCCTGGCCCGGAAAGTCTCTGGAACAAGCATGAAGGCGAGTGAAGCGGGAGGTGTCCAGGGCTTGCAGAGAGCGAGCCAGCGCGCACGCGCGGCTCCCAGAGCGAAGCGAGAGGCGCCGACCGACGACGGCTGGTGGAGGCGGTGGGCGCGTCCTGGCGGCGGGCGCGTCCTGGCCGGTCACCGCGGTGGGCCATCGGAAGCCCGCAGGTCGGGTCTGGGAGAGGAGTCCGGCCTGGCCCTCGGAGACGACGGCGTCCGACAGCACTCGCGGGGAGAAGGGATTGATGCTCAGTCTAAACTCTACAAAAGTACAGTCCTACAACATCTGGGATTTTAGCAGTAACGCTAACGTCTATAGTTTTTTTTTTCCTTTTTTAATTTTTTTTTGCTCTCCTCTAATTTTTTCTTCTATTATATAGGTATTTTTAAACTTTTCCTTTTTTTAAAATTCTGTACAACTATTATGATTTTTAAGAGGGGGGGAAGAGTTAGAAGCATTTACAGACGTTTCACAACAATTACCTTGTCTTGGAAGTCCCTTTGTTCCCCTCCTTGTTTTCTCGCACTTCATGGTTAACGAGTTTTAATGTTTGTTTGTTTTTTTCTGTTGTTGTTGTTGTGGTTGCTTTCCCCCAAATATCCACCAATCTGTTCGTCTCAACAGCTCCATCCAGACATATAATACAGAAAACCATAGGAAAGTGTCATAGACTTCAATGAGGGTAATCAAAGCGCCTCTCAAAGTATCAAAGAACTATTATCTTGCTGTTTTAAAAGCATTGAAGCATTATTTTTTTCATTTTTTTGTATTTTTTTGTATTTTTTTAAATTTTTATTACATTTTTTTTTCATAGAATCGCTCTAAGCTGTTTCAAGAACAGCAGGAGGCAGGAAGGAGGTAGTTCTCCATTCCCCTCTATTTGACATAGAGCTACACATCTGCAATAAAAAGTTTGGTCCTTTGGTCCCTAAATAGCTAAAGGAATGACAGATAGAGATGCTCAGTGCGGCCTCCCAGCCGCCCCTTGGGGACCAGGCCCCAGCTATGCGCCTGGCCCCGCCCGCCTCAGGGGCCCATGGGCTGGAAATGCCCCAGGATTGGTCAGCAGCAGCGTCTCCTCCCAAGTGCCCAGCCCTTCAGCCTCCCCATCCAGTCGTTATTTTGTGTTAAAGTTGCCTTTTTTTTGTAGGTTTGTTCCCCTCATTTTTCTTCCTCATCATCTTCTTTAAGTCATGTATATTTTCCCCCAAACACGTGCCCTCTGAACTCCACAGATGCTATACTTTCCTTGAAGAAATTTTACAGTCTCACAGAGAGTCTGGAGTCTTCAGCTTGATTGATATTGGCTGATATGTCAAAGGTGTCATCCAACAGTTCTCATTTATAAATAGAGAGAGAGAGAGGTTTGTTTTTTTTTAATGTAGCCCGTTCAGCATCCTGCCCTAAAACGAAGAAAATCAGGGCTGATTAAGCCAAAAAGGAAAACACAAAATGCATCCAAACACCAATAGGAACCTGCCTCGGGGTAGGATGGGAACTCTGGGGGATGGTGGGAAGGAAGGAGAGACCAGTATGAGAATTAGTCATGATCATGATACAGTCAAAAGAAATTCGCTCTTCTATTTAAAGTGAGAAAACACTGGGCGGCCTGATGGTGATGGTTGTAGCTGAAGTTTAGAAGGTGGGAGAGCTCTCAACTTGGATGTCTTTAGAGTGTGAATTGAGGGACAGCTAGAACTAAGGGAAGAATTTGGGGGTAGGGGTATGAATTCATAATTAAACATGTCCTTGAGGGATCTAGCCCAGATACTATATGTATACAGAAGCCTAGCAAACAAGATAGCAAAAATCTAGCAGCTCACCCACCCCTCCCCCAGCTAGAGGAAAAGAAGGAAGACAGAGCTGTAAGTTGAATTTTGCAGAATCCTTGCCCAGTTTCTAGCCAACCACTTCTTTCCCAAGGTCAGTTACTATTTGCGAGGCTGTGTATATATATGTATATCTGGATATATGTGTAGAATATTCACCTGCACATATGTGGATATACATGGGTATGTGTGTATGCATATGCACATAATACACACATACACACATACATAATACTTTTATCATACATGCCAGGGAATTTAGAGGAAATTCAGAACTTCCAAGGAATGGATGGGACCACCTAAAAAAAGGTCAGAATAGATTTAATTATCAAACTAAAATCAATTAACTCAGATAGTTCTTGATTTTCGTTTTGAATGGTGGCTTTTTTGTTTTGTTTGGCTTTAAAGGAAGAAAATCATGATCTGACTAGAATCAGAAGGCGAATGCTTCATCATTGTGAGTTAACAAATGAGACTCATCTCCATTCTAGCAAGCAGCTTCCACTTATACATGAGGTGACTTGTTACATCAAGAAAGTTAAAACTGCAAAGCCCCCAGTTGAGGGGGACAACGTCATGCGTATATCAATCCATGCTGGCAGGTTTTCACACTGTTGATTCAACAAACAGCAAACCGTACACAGCAGTCTAAACAATTACAACACCAAATAAAATAATAATAAAATTAAAAAAGAAAAACACTTGTCAAGGACCCTTTTTCAGTTGTAAACAAAAAGGTGCATTTTTGCTTTTGTTACTAGTATTCCTTCCGGACCAACCAAAAAAGCCCTCCCATACTCCCAGTCCCCCTCGCCCCCACCCCACACTGAATTTAGTAGAAGTGGCTACAATACAAACCTTAAGACAATTGTTTCCAGGGCTCTCTTTCAGAGGCCTCTGGCTTTGGACTCTAGTTTTTTTTGGCATAGAATTTTTAAAAATCATTTTGTTACTGTAAACATTTTAGTTTTGGTTTTCATATTTTCTTTTGAGATGAGATTTAAAATAGCCTAACTGGAAAAAAGACCAGACCTAGGAAAGTGTCAATTGAAAAAGGCCCCCAAATTTCTAGAAAAAAAATAAAATCACAATATTTTCAAGTGCAAGTAAATCAACCACGCATAGATATTTTTAAGATGTTTTCCTTATTTTTAAGAAAAAAATGAAACTGGTTTGCATAGTTAAATGATCCCATATTTTGTAATTCAGGAATTCATCTTTATTTGTACTAATTTTTTTGTTCTTTTTGTTTTGTTTTTTTTTTCTCTATGTGACATCTAGAGAAGCATAAAAAAACGCTGAACAAGAAAAACCAAACAACAGAAAGTAAAACCACTGCAAGCACCAAGAACGAAACGAAAATGAGCACAGCAAAAAATCGTGGCAGCACAAAAGTCAAGAAAATGCACGTGTGATCATGACTGGCCAATCATCAACGGATACGACATCCAAGAAAAACGCTCCAATCACAGCACCTCCACGAAACTTGACGGCAAGTGTCATGCAACCGATTCTTAGCCTTGTTACATGACGCCATCATGTCACACTGTGAACTTTGAGTTGATTTGAACTTACGGATGGGGGACTTTTCTCCACTCTCATGTGATTACGTGAACTTTATTCCTAGCTCAGCGCGAGACTGTGGTGGATTTGACTGGCCCTGGTTGGGTTGTTGGAATTTGATTGAATGACAAAAGAAGAAAAGATTTATATATATATATTTATATATGTAGAGAGAGAGAGAGAGGACAAGAGAGTGTGGGCGGGGAAGGGAGACAAGGGAGGGCTGGGGGGGTTGGGAGTGTGGGGACAGGAGAGGGGGTTGAGGGTGAAGAAGGGCAAGGAAGAAGTTAAAACAAAATTAAAAGGAAAAATATTTATACAGCACCAGACCACAGCATCAATCCAAAAGCTTGGATGAGAGAACAGCAGTCAAATCATAAGGGAACTGAAAAGAACTCAAAGGATGGAGGAAGCCAGCAGACAGACGACATGGGCACATCAACACACACGCACATACACACACACACAGCTGTTTATGCAGACACATGATACACTGTGAACAGGAGCAGAGCCTCGCACGGGGACCCTCAGGGCATCCCTCATGCGCTGGGAAGAGGAGGGGGCATGGCGGTTTGGTGAGTGAGCCAGGAAAAATCAAAACAGCCCCTCAAACCACCATGGCTGGCAAGCAGATCTCAGGGAGCAAGCTCACTGTATTAACACCCTTGATTCTGTCTCCCCAGGTTCCAAGCTCTCCTCACCTCCTGTTTGCTGTGGCTACAGCTTGAGGACCTAGCAAGGGTGGCTGGCTGGGTGGCCCTTTTTGGATGGACAGGTCATATGCTGGCTAAGGGCAGATACTACTCGGCAGCTTGTCTCTACCACCTGGCGTCCCACCTTGCCCTGAGCCTAGGGAAGGATGTCCCTAGATGGCAAAGACACCCAAAGACATGGTGAGATTTTATGGCCCTCCACCTTCCCCAGGTTCATACTTCTTTCCTTAGAACCTTCAGAAAACGAAAGCTTCCATTCCTTTTGAGATTTCGAAGTAAATGACATTGATATTCTTGGCATTCTACAAACATGCTTGGGACACTGCTTATTTCCTTTCATGACCCCCTCACATACTTTGTTTTTGCTCCCCAGGTGGCCAAACTGACTGAGGCTGGTTCTGGTTCCATGAAGCCTTGCAAAGGCTTCATAAGAGAGCCATAAAAGAGCCATTGCAGGGTGCGCCCGCCAGAGGGCAGTGCAGAAATCCTGCATCTCCAGCTCCTGCAGTTCTGGGTGCCTTTGTTGACCCTTCTCTCCCGACTTGTCTTCTACCTCTTACCCCCTTATGCCCCACTATTGACAGCTCTGTAGACTATCCTGTTCCCCCAGCTGCTGCATCTCAACTGCCTTCGAAACTGGAGGAGCCCTCATGATGGAGAATGAGCTTCCTTCTCCATGAGTATTTTCAAATTGCTCTGTTTTGGGTTATGTTCTGTCCCACTCCCCCATTTATTAGCCCTATGTTCTGCCCCTGGGATTTAGGGTCCCCAGCTCCATCCTCCTCCCTCCTGCTTATCTGTGAACTTGCTCTCTGCTCCTCCAAACCCTACCTGCCCTTGGTTTATCGGTGGTTTCTAGTCCCACAGGCCTCTACATACTGTGGTCTGTCAGGATTTTTCCCCCTTGGGAAGATGAATGGGCACCCTCAAATCATACACTGTCACAGTGGATAAATTGTATAATAGCTGAGCCCTATGCCCAGCCTCCAGCTCAGCTTTTACAGAGGTATTGCCCGGCCTCCCTCCTTTCTTCCCTCCCCAGCCCCTTGCCCTGCCTCCTCCCCATGCAAGCTGCTTTCTGTGTTCTTCCAGCATCTGCTCTCTTTCAGACCAGGGCCTGTCACATGCCTACCAAGTCCCAAATGTCACTCCCCTCTGCATTGCTAATCCTCACAGAAGCTCCTAGGCTTACCCAGGATGCCTGGTTGCTCTGTACCTCAGGCATGAGGAGAAGCCTAAGAACTGAGGACTGTATTGCCATCAGGTGTCAGCTCTGGCAACTGCAATGATGGGCCACCATGGGGATTCTCCTCCTTCTCCTCCACACTAGTCCCAGGGGATCTCAGTCATTCCCTCCTTCCTACCCTGCTTGCCCTCTCTCCTCCTCCTCCTCCTCCTCTAGCTTTCAGCCCAGCTTCCCTTCAGTGCCAAGCACTGTTCTGGGCACAGGGACTCAAATGTGGATATACATAGCCTCTCTTCCTAAAGTTCAGTTGTACACACTTCCTCACACACATCCTCTTCTCACACACACTCATACAATGCAGCCTCCCATGCATTCAGCCCCCAAGGTGCCTGCCCAGCTGTGTTCTCGCAATCTCTCTCTCTCTCTCTCTCTCTCTCTCTCTCTCTCTCACACACACACACACACACACACACACACACACACACAGCTATCTTCCTTTAGGCCAGGTGAATCTCTGCCTACAGGAATGAGTCTTGCCTGGCCATTCTCTGGTGCACCTTGCAGAGCACAGCACTGGAGATGAAACCAGTATCATTGAGCAGCATAGGGGAGCTGAGATCATGTCTTGGAAGCTCCAGCTCAGGAAAGTGGACCAAGTGGAATCAATTCAGGACAGAGGGATCCCAAGACAATTCTGAGCTGGGCAGAGCCAGGTAGGACTGTTCTGCCTGCTGGCTGTGGATCTGGTCATGATCTACTTTTTTTTTTGCCCACTCATTGTGCTTCTGTTTCCTTCCTTAGTTTTCCAGTAAACATTTCTTGGAGAAACTCAAGCAGCTAGAAGGGTGGTGGCAGCAGAAAAGGGAGGAAACAAGTGAGGAAGGAGAGCTTCACTGACTCCAGCCCTAATCCCTCTACAGCTGTGATCTAAGTCTATGGAATGGACCCCAACTGTGTTCCCTATGGCTAGCCTGAGTAGGCCCCTCTCCTTCCCTAGTCTACTTCACGATGTTTTAACTTGACCTTGGACACCAAGCTTGCTGTGTCTTCTACCTTTACCACTGTAGGTGGTTACCTCAGCCTAGAGATCCCCTCCTTGCTACCTTTTTGCTCCCAGCAATGGCTGGTCCCTTCTATTCCTGCTCAGGCCTTCCTGAGCATGTGACGCCAACTGAGGCTTCAATCATTTATAATCACCCTTCATTGGCCTGCTTTTTGGTGCCATTTTCTCCCTGGCTGGCAGCTCAAGAAGGGCCACTTCTCACTGCAGTCCCAGAGGCTGCCTGAGAAGTCCCCATCTCCTCCTGCAACTACAGCTTCCTTCGCCTTAGGCTGGGAAGGTTGAAGGCAGCATTGGTTAAGTGCTGTCTAAGCAAAACACCAAGGAGTTTTGAAAGACTGGTTTAGGAGGAAAGAGACTGTCAGCTGCTGACTCTGGAGAAGTAAGGTGCCATCTACTCTCTGAAATTCACGACACTGTGGTATAGGAGGGTTGGGGTGGTATGGGGGAGCTGGGGCTTCTCATTCTACTCACTTGAAGGGAACTGGGCTCCTGCTTTCAAAACTTGGCTCTACCACTTACTAGCTGAGGGACAAGTCACTTGATCCTTCTGGACTCTGTGAAAAAATGGGAATGCTGACACTAGCCAGTTGAGAGGTGGTCATAGCTAGATAATTTATGTCTTCACAGCTGTTACCTGTCAGAGTGGTGCCTGTAGTAGGCCTTTGAATTCCACAGTATAAGAGTCTACCCTGCTTTTTAAGCTATACCTCCTAAGCCCTCATCCCGTTTCTGAGTACTAGCTGGATCTACCCTAGAAGCTACTTCATATCTTAGATTCCAATCTAAGGATTGCAACAGCAATCCTTCATCTGGAAATTGCTCTGACTTAAAGAGATTCTACTGTTGCTTGGGCCATGGAGGCAAAGACATCCGAGCTACTATCAAGAACAGTCATTGGGACCCCTGCGATTCTCCAGGCACAACTACTATGTGCTTCCTTTAAATCCTCTGACTTCAATACCATGGGTTTATGGATAAGGAAATGGAAGTCCAGAGGGGTAAGCATTTTGACTCAGGTCATGCTTGAAACAGAGCGTTCACATGTGCAGAAAGAATTGTGTGATGGAACCAGCCATCTCCTTCTATGGAAATGTACCCACTTCCTGGCTACCTCCTGGTAACTGTGTGCACAGAGCTAGAAGCTCCATGGTGTGATCCACTCAGCATTGCATCCCCAGTGCTGAGAGCCAGGGCTGGCACAGAAGGTGCCAGAACTCTGAACCAACATGTATGTGTGGAGCTTCCCACAAGCCAGAAGTGGGAAGAACTGGGAAATTAGGAGGCCAGAGTCCAATTTTTCTCTTCCAGGCTTGCAGAGCAGCAGTTCTTAAGGGTGGTGAGTGTTGCTAGTTCTCAGTGAATGGAGAGAGGGTCTTCCACTGGTGTCTCAGTAAGGTGAGGGTAGGATTTATGGAGAGAACAAGATGCTGAAGACTCCAGGCCTGCATTTGAATTTCTAACTCACATGCCTGATCTTTCTCCCAGGTATTCTGCTCTTCCAGACATGTGGGCCAAAAGCTAGGAGTCATCCTAGGTTCCTCTTTCCCTTGTACCCTTCTTAATTCATTTGAATTCATTCAGGGAATCCAGACATCCATGGTGCTGCCTTCAAAGCACATCTAAGACACCAAATCCTTTACTCTCCATGGCCTGCTCTCTCACTGAGAGCTCAATGCAGTAGATCTTTGCTTCAGACCTTATAGACCAATATCAATACAACATTCCGAGCAAGCCTACTAAAAGCAGTCTTCTCTCAGAATTTCCCCATGCCTAATCCTGCTTTGGAGATTCAAGTCTATAAACAGCCTGTAGGACCCAAACCCTCCTCTATCCCTCTGTGGTTCTCCTCCATCCCAGGTCTCCTATGCCTCTCTCTCAGCCCAAGGTGCCCTCCAGTGACTCAGCCACTGCTGCTCCGTGGACTCACTGCCCATGTGCTTGCTTGCCTTGGGGTCTGTACACTGACCTTTTATCACTTTCTCAAGTCTTTGCTCAAATTTCAATCTCTCAAGGAGACTGGCTCTGACAACTCTACCTGATTTAACTGTAGCCAACAATTCTAACATACTAGGTAGTGCACTTTCTGTCTCCTCCTTCTCAATGTTGGCCATTCTGTTCTGAGGGCCCAACAGTACTCAAGGCGCCATACTGCTGAATAAATGAGCAGGAAGAGCCCAAAGGTAGTCTTCAGACCTGGTCTGACATCTCTCTCCACCCCTTTCACAGGACGCTGTGTCGAGAAAAACACTTGGTTTGACTAGGAGTGTCTGGCTTCCTCCAGCAAATTCCCTGCCTGAGAAGAAGACAGGATTGTCTACTCATTATGACCCACTACCAGGAGCAGGTGAAGGATCCCAGGTCTAGGCCCTCTCTGCTCCCTGCCTTTTGCCCTGTCTGTTGTTTCCAAATATCCTGCCTCTCCTGTCCTGACTGAGCTATGGCAATGTGAAGGGTCGACCCTCCTGGAAGAACTGGGGAAGGCCAGAGAGTCTGGGAGGAGGAGGCTCCAACATGTCACTGACCCCCCCTGCAGGAACTGAGCTTGCCATCTGCCTTCCATCCCAAGGTCTCTGGCCAACAGAACTCTATATGGTGACCTGGAGGGACAGGCCCAGGGCTGACCTTGCTTTTCAGACGGCCCCCTCACTTAATAGCCAACGCCTGGATACTAAGTGGTCCAGGGACAGGGGAACCGCCATGCCCATTTCTGCCAGGATGACCACAGCTCTGCGCCTGTCCTATGGGCTCTGGGCATAGGGAGTTGGGGGGGGGGCAGGTTGAGCAGGGCGCATCGGGTCCAAGACACAAGTGAGCGTTGGGCCCAAGGAGGCCCTAGAATGCGGCGGGTCCGTCCGATGTCCTCTCTCCAACCTCCCGTCCCCACGCACTGGCCACCCCCGGTTACCTGTGCGAGTCCTGGTCTCCCCCGGGGGACGCTCCCGCCGGCGCTCAGTAAGGGCGATTGGCGTCTTTGGGCCGCTTCAGCTGCACCTTGAGCCTCTTCATGCCGATCTGGAAGCCGTTCATGGCCTGGATGGCGGTCTGCGCGCTGGCTGGGTTGTCGAAGCTCACGAAGCCTGGCGAGACACGAGGGACGAGGGCCTGGGTTTCCACGGGGCCGCTCGGGACCACTCCCGGTGGGGAGGGATTGGTGGGGAGGAGGCCGGGCGGGGGCGGGGCGGGGCTCACGGCTCCTCCCCCG